GTATAGTAAAAAAAAAATATTATTGATGGAAATTATCGATATTGCTACTTCGCTTTCGAAAATTTAAACTTCACTCAACTCTAAATTCATCGCATACGCCCCATAAAACTGTTATCGAGTCGTATTAAAAAGCACAACTAAACTAAACGTAAAACCTTAAGTATGAAATATCTCAAGCCCTAACCTTAATATAGTCACTTTTTCACCATTACCATTCAAAACTTTAACCGTAACCCTAACCTTACTACAATACTTCAGTTCCCTAAACCCGGAAACACAGGAAAGAAAAAATATCTCCTAAACACCCCGGGCCCACACAACCGCCATTATTGCTCATTTGTTCATTTGTTCTGCTGTCATAGCCCGACCCTCACGGCCGACTCACGGGCCGGTTAAAATGGCCTCTCCTAACGGATGTCCATCAATCTCTGGAACTTTCTCATCCTCTGCGACTTAACCTTTAGCGCCCAGATGACCCGTGGTCTGGTCCGGAGGAAAGAACTGGCACCGATAGCATCGCATCAGAACTCTAACCACAAAAATAACAAGAAAAAAGTGACCACAAATACATTAGAACTGTTTACAGAAAAATGCGCTAAAGAAAAACTGCGCAAGAAAAAATTGCGCAAACATAAAAATGCGCACATACAAAATAATTATACTAATACAATTTAATTCTTTATATTTCTTGGAAAAGTATTTTATTATGCTACAATGTACATGCAGTCACTCTTTTTTAATGTCTAAAAATGCTCAATTTTAAGAAAACAAAAATGCCCTTGCACATTTTTTTTGCGCAGTTTTTTGTTGCACAGTTTATCCGTTTCGCATCTTTCCGGTTACCATTAGAACTACATTAAAAAAAAAAACTAACAGCATATATAATATTTTATGTGTTTATTTTATCTCACTATCCATCAACGCAATGCTATTTTTATATCTGAATTTGTTAGATTTTTTTTTTTTTAATAATGCGGGTGAATTTTCACGCAAACTAATAAAAAACGCGAATTAATTATTTTTTAAACAAGGCAGGGCAAGGGCGAGCATAAAACATGTCAATGGGCGTTGTTTTCAATGCAAATCTGGGAAGGTTGTCTCTCAAATCTGTTAGAGTTGTGGGCCGGTGGATTAGAACTTGTTAGACATGGTCTTGTGCGCATGACCGCATGTTCATGACGAATGGCTCTCATTTCCATTTTTTTTTTTTTGTCGTTTGTTGAGAACTTCACAGGGGTTTCCCCACTAGACGGGCCTTAAATATATTGGTCGTCTGGAGTTGATGATTCCAGGGTTACTTTCAGACACTTTTCTTCGTGGGGGGGGGGGGGGGGGGAGAGAGAGAGAGGCACTTGAAACTTCCGGGAGGGTACTTAAAATTTCCGGCGGGCGGGGAAGAGGGAAGGGTTGGAAATTGGTTTAAGTACATATTTTCTATATTTTTATTTCGTCTGTGTCCTCCCCCTCCCTCCCCCCCCCCCCCCTCCACCCCGGAGACCTACCTGAAACTGTTTTGAAGCTATAATGGATATATTTCATCTGCCCCCCTCCCCTCCCCGTGTACTCAGCCATATTGTAAAACCACCCAATTGTAATACAGAACTTGGAGACTTAGCTATTCCAAAATAGTCTCCGCTTGTACTTTCTTTCTTTATTTAACCAAACAAACACTGCTAGAAGAAGTAGAGTTCATGTGTTTCTATTTCCTCGGCATCTTAAACCTTTAAGCAATCAGTTCCATTTACAGCCGACTTTACTATTGTAAACATAACATCACACTATTCTGACGAAGACCATATACCGAAACATTTTTTTTATTAGATTCGACTAATTGATCTAACTACTTATTGTATCATTGTATGGTTACATCTTTATATTAACAAGATTTATATCTGTTTCAGCCTAACTGATCTAACTACTTATTGTATTCATTGTATAGTTACATCAATCTCTCCCTTTTGTTCCAGCCCTAACCAGGTCAACGACTTGAACCTCCCAGTCTCCCGCATCAAACGAGGGCGAAATGGAGCTCGCCGCGCTACAACTACACCACGTTCTTCTCCAGACGTACCACGAGTCTCAGGTGAGTAAAGGGTTATCTCCCTGTCATGTGACATTCATAGTTATCCCCCTTCAGTGTCACATGACAAAAATATGATGAATGGGCGAGACGGAATCTCGCGTGATGCGAAACAAAGTCGCGAGATTCTGGAAATTTTGGGGGTTATTATTGTTTTTAATCTAGAAAATTGTCTGAACAATTAAGATAAATCCCGTATTATATGAAACTTTTTTACCGGGGGGTTAAAAAGACAGAAAATATGTTTCTATCTGTATAAAGCTAACGCAACTCGACACTTAGTTTAAAGATAGTATTCTCTCCCCTTTTTTTCCTCTACGAGTTATCTCCCCCGTGAGACAAGCTAAAAAGGTATTTACATGTTTCTTGTAAAAAAAAGTGGTTCGAGGATTTATTTCCCCTGATTTACCAATACTGAATAGTTAAGTGGGGGTAAAGTGGCGTTACAAGGGTTGTTGGGAAAGAAGTAAGGGGGATCTTTTTGTACTTGGCTAATGTTGGTACGATCTGTTAATCAATATACAAGTATTGTTCACTTTCATAGCTCAGCATTAATATCATCATTTATTTTTCATAATTACTAAACTACGGGAGTCTAACCCTATCCAAAAACTAATCATAATACTTTCCGATTAAAAGGGATGTAATTTTCAAAAGTAGCTACAAAAATAGAAATCTGTTGTTTTTTTTTTAAATAAAAAAGACACTAGCATACAACCCCCCCCCCCCCCCCCAATTCATAACGGATTTTTTTTTCCATTTTCTCTCCTCTTTACAATATTCTTTCTTGCCGTTCTGCCCGTTGTAATTCTTTTTTTCCCATTTTTCCATTTCATGAGCTACCATTTTAAAGGGCATCTGCCGATGAAAAAAAAATGCATTAAAAATTAAACATTGCTTGACAGTTCACGGAATGTAAAGAAAAACAATTACCGGTTACAGAAACGAAAATTGTTTAGGCAAAATTGTGTGGGGATAAAATAATAGCGACGCACTTTCAGACATACACACACATATAGACACATACCCAAATACAAATACATACAGATATGTACGCATTCAGATAAACACAGCTCATTCTGACATACGCACATATCTAGCACATAAACACATACTGACAAAAACAGTACATACACATACACACACATACATACACATACCAACATTCTAATACATACTAATGTACACGCATTCAAACACAGACATATAAATTACATACACACATACAAACATACAGACATACACACAGACATACAAACACATCTACACACATGTGTACACATACATACACACACGAAAACCACACACTGTCCAGATTTTTTTCTAATTGCCAGCGATTTGTCTCCCTTAGGCCCCCGGTGCCGCCGAAGATGGCGCCAGCGATTCTTCAGGGGAGACAATCACCAGCGACAGTGGGCGTGGCGGAAGTGACGAGGATATCAGCAACTCGAACATGTTGTCCGGGAACTCCATGGGTAGGTCAAGACAACTTTGTTTTTTTTTATAATAGACTGGGTGTATTGGTCAAGACAACTTTGATTTTTTTTTATTATTAGACTGGGTGTATTGGTCAATACAACTTTGATTATTTTTTTTTATATTAGACTCGGTTTTGCTGGTCAAGACTTAATAAATTAGAAAGAAAAAAAAAATTAATTTTCCCGCACACCATTTGAAAGGCTTCCCCTAAGGCGTATTTCTTTGTGTTCGGTCTATTTGTTGAGCTCATCGATTTAACCAATCGACCTTAAAGTCGGTTCCTTTCAGGCATTTCAGTCATTCCCCGTGACGAAATTTTAAAAAAAATCGTTTTTATAGAAAAATATAAACCAATATCCGCCCCATCCAAAAACAATTATCTGAAAGAAACCCAACCCACATTGTAACCCTATAGTAAAATAGAATATACCAAAAGTATATCTCTTGATCACAATGATAAAGTCTCGTTAATATTAATGCAAATCCATAAAGTAATACACTGTAATTTTAATTTCCCTGTTGTTGTACCAGGCTACAATAGTTCTGTCGTATCGACTCTTTACAAAATCTTGTAGACACAGGTACATTCACTAACATTATTTTTAAAAAGTTCTGTCCTATCGACTCTTTGCAAAATCTTTTAACCACAGGTACAAAAAAAAAAAAAAAAAAACAACTAACCAACACCTTAAACCTAGGCCTAACACTAATCCAGTGACAGCTCGTCAAACAGTACCATTTGATACTTCATCATTGTGTTCAAGTTCAAGGCCGTTATTCTTAACCCCCCCCCCCCTTTCCACCCCCTTCCAAACATACACACAGACACCAAACACAATGTGTGTTCTCTAAATCCCGTGTGTTGTGACACATCAGACTTCGACCGCAACACAAGGACCCCCACTATCCACTACTAGACCTGCCCCAAAGCCTTGCTTCTTTTAAACCTGGTCCATATTCTCATTCCATCACCTCCCCCACTCACCCGCCTTCATCTTTTTTTCAAGACCTCAGAGCTGCAACAACTCTTTGAATAGAACTTGTTTGCTTCTAAAATTCCACGTTTGCCCGTCGACTTGCTAAGCCCGTCCACAACTCCGGCAAAAAAATTTTTTGTCTCGTTTGGGTTGGTTAAACATTGCTCATCTCCCCTTGTATTGTCCCCCCTTGTTTAGGCGTATGTACACTGGGGTTGACGCGGCGCGGTGCGAAAATTTAAGTCATGTTACTATAAATAAACACGGGGCCCCCGAGGTTAAAAAGGGGAGAGAAGAACCGACGTTTGTGGGGGTGATTATGGTTCTTGTTTTTGAAGTTGACAAAACGTGTTATGGGGGTTAAGATTAAGGACTTCGTGTGAAATTCTTTGAAAAAAGATGAAACAGGCTTTTTTTTTCATACGCCGCAAAATTTGATCAATTTTTTTTTAAAATAATTAATTTATACTACCGACATGGTTTTAATAAAGGCCGGATTAATCTTCGCGATGGATGAGAAATTATCTTAATTAATGAATGATGAAACAGCGAAGGGGTTTAACACGCTATCATTTTATGAAAAAGACCAGTATGGAGATGTTGGATTAACATTTGGCATTGTCACTTGACTGGTTAACTCTGCTTCACCTACCTCACGACAGGCAGTTTAGGAAGACAAAATTTAAAAAAAAAATTATTCAAATGATTACAGTATGGTAGTGAATATTGCAAATCCTCTATTATAAAAATATTTTAAATACCTGGAAATTGCTTTTTGTCAACTTTAGAATTATTATTAGTTTTTTAGTGAATTTTGCATTTGCTATAGGCCTATTTTTCTTCGCCTTTAAAAAAACACAACTCCAAGTGGATCATATATTATTTAGAAAATACCTCCACGCATTTCTTTCATTTTGCTATTTTTTTTTCCATTTCTTTCTCAATCCAATAATGGTCTTGTAATTTTTTTTTATAATTTCTCCGCGAGGTTTCCGTGATATGCCATGGCCTGGTAATACTTATTACCTAATTTCCTCAACGTAATGCACATCTATAAAGTAATACACTATAATTTTAGTTAATTTCCCTGTTGTTGTAAAAGGCTACAATAGTTCTGTCGTATCGACTCTTTACAAAATGTCGTAGACACAGGTACACTCACTATTTAACAATTTACGAACATTATTTTTTTTTTAAAAGTATTACTTGTTTTTAACCCGACCCTAACACAAGCTTAAACCAAACCCTTAAACATCAGTACTAACAGACGTACAGATGTCGTCCGGTGCTTAAAAAAATTACCCAGAATTCTCCTCCAAGCAATATCTACCGTGTGAGGTAGACACACACAAAAAAAGTAATTTGCAATCATTCATTTTTCCATCTGAAACTGTAACCAGGATCTTTAGCCTTTGTGAAAGGCGAGCCGGTGCTGGGGGTGGTGGGGTCTCTATTGTTACGTTTTCCCGGGAGCAAATAATTTGTCTAGTTTGTGTAATGGGGTGGGGGAAGGAGGTAAGAAGTGGGGGGGGGGGGGGGGGGTGCTGTATCTATTGTGGGAGCAAATCATTTCCCTAGTTTGTGAAATGGGGGGGAGGGGAGGGGTGGGGGTAATGCTGTATCTATTGTGGGAGCAAATCATTTGCCTAGTTTGATGGGGATGGGGGAGGTAGGGGTGGAGTGGGGTAAAAGAAGAACCTTCTAGTAAGACGTTGATGCTGTAATTATGTTGTCTACAAGCGAGATTATCATCTGACGGATGAGATCAAGGGGGGGGGGGTGGTACTTCTCGTATGTATTCAATCCTGGTTGGTTATGGCGTTGGAATAATTGGAAGAGGTGTGAAGTTGGGGGTTCGTTGAAAAAGAAAAAAGAATATCTTCCGATGGTCCCGTAACCTGGGTAGAAGAAATGTATTTATGTTTTTAGTTCAAACACTTTGATTACTACTTTATTTTATAAAATTAACAACGCCTTTTGTTTTCTGTCGCAGACGATTCCAGAGCCGGCCATAACGGAAGCTTCCAGTCCAACGTGAGCACCTTCTGCCAGAACGCCAACCTCAAGTCCAGTGTCAAAGACCCGGTCCGGTCGAGCGCCAGAAAACACGTGACTTTCAAGGACATGGAGCGGTTCCGCAACAGCATCCGGTCACAGAACGGGGGCGCCGCCCTCTCGAACAACGACCTGGCCGTGAGCACGGGGGCCCAGCCTGTGCAGAAGGGGTCTGTTCAAGGGGTCAACTCCGGCGCAAGGGGTCACCAGAACCCGTTGAGCGAGATGAACATCCCCGTTGCTAGGGACAACAGCAATGTCCGTATTGATAACCATAACTTGGGTGGTTATCCCGGACACGCCGCGCTGAAACCTAGGGGCGTTGCCTCCCCGTCTTACTCTGACAACCAGGGGCGCGACTCCCCTAAACTGGTCACCTTTTCAACATCCGCACCTTTACAGCCTTATCAACACTTTTCTCACCCGCGCCTGCCTTCATACAGCGGTGAAGACTCCATCCCCAGCCCCATGCCTAAAGAATCCAACATCGAATGGAGGCAGCACCCGCAGCACGACCTCACCGGAAGTAAACTGAGCATCAACTCCGCCCCTGCTCAGCCGTACCTACACACGACCTCCTCCAGAGACCGGCTGCCGGCGCCGCATCACAACTTCCGGTCCCAGAGTCCCCAGGTGTTCCCGGCCCAGCCCTACAACGACACCATCACCAGAAACACCGACCAAAAACAGATTTTATCGAAATCAGCCTCCAAAGACAATAACTGGGGAACCTTCCAGAATTTGAAAAACCCTCACCGAGACGGTCTTCAGCTCCCCCATAGCAACTCATTCAACTCCAACATCAACGGGAACCTACTCCCTCCCCGGCTCACATCTCCACTTCCGGTTATCCCACCCCGGGAAGCCGTCCATCTGCCGGACAAATACTCCTCCCAGCCGTCCCTTCACGGCTCCGACGTCAGCAAATACCCCACTAACACCAGCAACAAAATGGCGTTCTTGACGGAGCGTTTCGCCATGCCGTCAAGAGACTGGACCAATGAGAGCATCGCCACGACGGAAGACGGCGACGACCAGCGATCAACGACCACTTCCGGTAGTTACTCCATAGACCACGAGGACGAGTACCTCGCCATGGAATTCAAACCTAAAGACATCGTTGTGTAAAAACTACTCACACTTAAAACATTCGTGTTCCAATCTTAGAAGTAATAATAATGGCATAAAAACTTGCAACGAGAATGAAATAGCTACGTATTCTTTAAAGGGACCAAAAGCACAAATTCATATTAGTCTTGGAAGACAACTTATAGCAGCAAGATATTATATTCATGCACAATTTTGGTATCCAAGAAAGCCCTTTGATTATTGTAGCCCTTTTCTCGAATTAATTTTATGTAATCTCCTGCCAAAATTGTACCAAAGCAACTATGTGCACGCGGTATACATTATTTATATAACAAAATAAAAACGAGAAGTCATTTTGTGAACTTTATTATAACACATACTTACATGACCAATGTTATGGGCTAAAAATATAAAGATACTAGGAGCATGACAAACGTGTTCTATTAATTAATATCCGATATTAACGAATATGGCAGCCGGGTTCTATAATAACTTGATCACTCAGACACAAACGCTGATTACTCCTCTAATAATAAACGTATACAGCAGCGTCACAAGGCGGGGGTGGAGGTGCGCTCCGCACCGGGTGACACCATAACAACGTTATTTTTGATGAAATTATGATGTATCACGAAATGATAAATGTGAGGTTTCAAAGGTAAAATAAATTCATACCCAAACAGTAATTAAAAATTGTCGGTGGGTGGGGGGGATGACACCCACAACAACCTGTGAAGACACTCACTCCAGTGACGCCACTGACCCCACTTGTGTCAAGTATGCAAGAAAAAAAAATTATTTCAAGTGCTATTAGATAATTTGACAACAAGGTGCTGTTTGTGTTTACAGTCAAATATTAATTGAAAATGTAACTGTGTGTACCATGTTAATTAATTACTCTGCATGTGATAGATGACGTCATGAATGTATCGATTTCAATGATGTACGTGTCAAAACAATTTTATGTAAATTTTGTACATAGACGCATGTGGTCTGCCTTGCGCACTGATTGGTGGAAAATATGTGTATCTGATCGGTGATTGGTTGGTGGACCGCGTCATTGGTTGTGATTGGTTGGGTAAAGACGCAACTGATTGGTTGATTAACTGTGTGGTTGGCAAAATCGAATGATTGATTTTTTTTATTAATCTGGTTAATTAACACGTTAGAGTGTATGATCTAATTAAATACTTAATACAATGTATTATGTGCGATTATGTATTATAATGGTTGAATAATGTTTGTTACGAAACGCATCTATTTTTAGTAACAATGTGTATGAAATAAGCAATAAAGTTCTGTAGAAATTTTCACGTTTTATTTTCGTTCATTCACACAACACTAATATAAGAAATAATTTTTTTTTTTCGATTACATTATTAATACTTTATTTTTATTAACTTAGAACAATTTGTTTTTGTAGATATAATTTAAATCTTGTCAACCACTATGTTCGATGTTACTGGTAAGAGAAACTCTGGCTATGTTGTCTATACAAGGTCTGGAGTTCAGAACCAGGTCGGAATCAGGTTATTAAATCATTTTAAATCATGTTATTTTATCCTTCTACCCTGCACTGGGGACAGAAGGAAAAGTTCTCCTTTCAAACCTGATGGTCTATGGGTCAAGAGAAGTAGAGTTCACTTGTTTCTTTGACCTCGGCATATGAAGGGCGAGTGTGGTCAGTACTATGCTCACATCTGAGTTGGGTGGACTCAGGGACGGTCTACAGTCTTGAACCCTGGATTCGAACTCGAGGCTTTACGGGTTAGCGGTATAGCTGGAGACATATCAGCTGCTAAAAGCCTGCATCCACCCAACTCAAAACGCTACCACCCAAGTTTAATCGTTGCCTGAATCCATCCAATTTTAAATCGCTACATAAATCGGCCTAGCTCTAATCGCTACTTAATTCCACCCAACTTTAATCGCTACCATAATCCACCAAACTTTAATCACTAACTGAATCCACCCAACTAAAATTGTCACCATAATCCACCCAATTTTAATCGCTACTTAATTCCACCAAGCTCTGATCGCTACCATAATCCACCCAACTATAATCGCCACCTAAATCCACCCAACTAAAATTGCTACCATAATCCACCCAACTCTAATTACTACCTGAACCCCCCTCTCCAATGTCAAAAAAACCACCCAAGATGAATTTCAATGAAGACTATCAAAACACCCCCGGCCCGCTTCCAAACCCCTTCTCCCCCCCCCCCCACCCTCCCGTTAGCTCTACAATAATGCCTTTCAGTACATTCAACTTATCAACAGTACTACTTGACTTAAAACGATTCCAAAACAGTCCAATAGCTTTACAAAAACCAACAGTCTATAAATAACATCCGTTTGAAAGTAAATATTTTAAGAGTGCCAGATACCAAAGTCATGTTCTTGACTTGTTCCATTAATTAGCGTAAGTCAGCAGATAACCACGTGACCTAATCTGAATGTAATCACGTGATAATGTAATCACTCGGCCGTCGCTTGGCACGACAAATTAATGAGGTTTTTTTTTCGTGCATTAACCCTTCTTTGTTTGAAACAAAAATAAACACACAAAAAACAGGTGTAGACATAAGTTGGTGGTTTCGTTTCTTGAACATCGGCAGGGGCCATACAGTATACTTGTGTATCTTGTTTTGTTTTTTAACATATCGTAAAGCTGGTTTTAGGGTTAGGATTAGGGTCAGGGCTATGGTTATATAGTTAGGATCATAACAACGGTCATGACGGTGGGGATATAACTATGGCCATTAGGGGTCAAGGGTATGGTCAGGATAGTTGGGCGAGTTATGGTTAGGGGTAGTGGTCAGGTCTTAAGAAAAGATGTAAACTATGAGCAGTCGGGGTCAGGGATATGATGAAGTCTGTGGTAAGGACAGTTAGGGTTTGGACTATGATAAGGACAGGGAGGGTCAGTGGTAGGTACATTTAGGGTTCAATCTGTGGTCAAACGAGTTACGGTTAGAGGTAAGATCACGACTATTAAAATCAAGGCTGTGGTCAGGAGAGTTAAGGTTAGAACTATAATCAGGACAGGGAGGGTCAGTGGTAAGTACATTTAGGGTCCAATCTGTGGTCAGAGTTAGGGTTAGGGGTAAGATCCGGATTATCAGGTTCAAGGTTGTGGTCAGGAGAGTTAGGGTCAAGGTTATGGTCAGACAGTTAGGGTTAGGTTTTTTTTTCAGGACAGTTATACCATCCAATCGTCATGACTTAAGAAGTGATTAAAACTATAGTCCTGGATAAGGTTAGGGTTGGGGCTAGGCCTTCCACCGTATCACACTAGCTCCTTGTGTTTGAAATAAAATTACTTATGTCGGAATGGTAGTGGCTGGCGGGGGGGGGGGTGTATTCCACCTTGCAGACGTAACCTATATCTTATAAATGTGAACATTTTTTTTTAAATCGCCATTTGGGCAGGCGCCCACTAAGGTGGTGGGGCTGGGAACGGTGGAGGGGGAGGGAGATAACTCCGAATCAGCGATGGAGATAAGAAACAAGGAATCTAGTGTTTTCAAATGGCCAAGGTTTCTTTCAAAATTAGCCCCGCTTATCTTCGAAGAGAAAAAAAAATGGGAATTGGGAGGTTGGGTGTATCGTTTAGAAGAATCGTGTCGGATAAACAATTAACGAGACGCGATAGGGGAAATCCCTGAGTCACATATGTCATGGGTTCGAGTCCAGTCTACGCCCAGACATTAAGGATTTGTTTTTTTTTTTCAACGAAATAGTGACACTGAAATGTAGACAGGAGAGAGAATTCGTTATCACGAGTTTTTTTTTTTTTTTTTTTTTTTTTTTTTTTTTTTGTATTTTTTTTTTTTGATACTTACAAACACTTCCGGGTATTAGTTTGTTGTTTTTCGTTTCGTTTTGCAAGTACCTGGCTCTAACCCTAAACCTAATCCTTACCTCATCTTTGACCATAACCCTACTCCATTCTTTATCACCAACCATAGCTTTAATAATAAAGCAATACCAGCACACAAATTAAAAAAAAAATATCAGCATCCGTATTATTCATCGAATGGCGCATCAAGATTCGAGCTCACGATTGCCAAAAGTCTCGAGTTCGAATCCCCCGAAGACGAGGTTTTGATTCCTCGAGACAGCAACCCATCAATGAGAGGAAACAACAAACTCAAACAAACAGCTGCCTTGTAGTTTGTTCTTGGTTGGGCAAAAGTTATGGAAGCAAATCCAAAAAGAAAAGCCGGCTGAAGTCGGAGTCAACAAGTTTATGACGACAAGCAATTGTAACGTTGATTCGTAATACTTGTATTGTAAGGAATACCTTTAAATATTACAATTTAAAATAAAGAAGAAAAAATACTATTCGTTTTTTTTTCAGGTCGGCGATTTCATTGAATTCATATGTACCAGTAGCTTCCTCTGTAGGCCCTACTTAACGCCTCAGCACAATGTCTTTAAAAAATAAAAACCAACATCATCGATCATCATGATAATTAATTTGAGTTCCTCGTTGAACAAAATCTGACAAAAATCTCCAGTCTCCTGGGTCTCTTTCCAGTCTTTTAATTTTTTCCCAAAGTTTTTTTTCTCAGCCCCACCCAGCATCCGCAGTGTCATAGTCCCTGGGGTAGTCCACTGCGTCGTTTACCCCCGGGAGTCCACTCTAAAGCCAGCTTGACTCTGTTTTTTGTCATCCTTACTGTGATCGTAATCAATATATCGCCACCACACAACAATATTATCTTTCCGGAGATTCCCGTTACTATGACACTGACGTCACAGTACAATGGTATTTCGGGAATTCCCCACATATCACACCAAAAAAAAAACAACAACTAATCATCGGCTTCACGTATTGACTTTCAGCTCCCAAAGAACAAACGTATTAGGGGAGTTAAGCTGTTTTCACACACACGGGCAGGTCAGAGTGTGACGGATAATACCGTGCATGCAGTCAACAAACGCACCGAGGTGCACGGCGACGGGAATGGTCGTTGCGGGAAAACCCGATTTAGTCTTAACATTCTCTGAATTGTGTTAAAAGATAACAAGCTTAGCGTGTTTGGAGTACAAAAGTAAAGGTAAATATAAGATGCACTGTTGTTGACAAAGTTAAAATGTGTAAGAAAACAATTTTAAGCGTGTTAACAAATATTTCAAAAGACCTTTATAAATGGCATTACAACGATCGGTAATTTTTAGAAAAAAAAAATTGTATCAACCAAAAATGTTCATTGAATTTGTAAACTAGTTTTTTTCAAGTTCATTTTCTTTTTGAATAGGAGTTTTTTTTTTTTTTTGTATGCTGGGCATTTTAAATTTTATTCTTAATTATCTTGTCCGCGATTAAAACGTAGCTAAATAAGCTTTATTTTGTCAGTATCTCCAAGTAGCACACAAATTATTTTAAAAGTCTGCAGCTTTCTCTTCTATTAAAAAAAAATGAATGAAGCCACACGCCTGGGGCTGGGTTAAGA